CACATATCGCTGCACGTCGTTAGAGGAATCAGGCCAATAATATTGACGTGCAGTAGCTTCTGGGTTTTATCAACCTGAAATGTCCAGAGAGGTTGGAATCGTGAATTTCCTGGATGAGGAGCTCACGCAGTAGTCGGTAATTGGGAACCTAAATCCGGTCGGTTCCGGCTTTAGATAATAGTCGCCTTTCTGCGTTGTAGCCTGCTGGTGATTTCCTGTTGTGAAGAAGGGATCTGTCGTGTAGCCATGGGTGAATAGTCCGGTAAGTAGAGGGTTCGAGTGGGTGATGAGTACTGCAGCGGATTGTACTGTCGGTCGGGTCAGGGCATCGGCGATGTTATTTGCCCCTTTTTTATACGTGATGCGGTAGGTGAAATGGCTCTCCATGTAGTCGAGCCATCGGATCTGTCGTGGGTTGAGGTTCGGTTGGGCTCGCAGGTACTGTAGGGATTTGTGGTCCGTGCGAACAGTGACGTCGGCGCCCACCAGGTAGCATCGCCACAGTTTAAATGCGTGTATGATGGCGAGCATTTCTTGTCGTGGATCGGGTAGTTGCGTTCGGCTGCCTGCAGCTTGCGTGATTCGTACGCTATCGGCTGCAACCCGTTCCCGAAATCCTGGAGGAGCATAGCCCCGATGGCGAAATCTGAGGCGTCGGTCACGACTTCGAACGGCTTCGATGGATCGGCGATGCGCAGCACAGGAGGGGAAACGAGAAAATGTTTGAGTTCCTGGAAAGCCGCCTCTTGCTTCCTCCCCCCACACGAAATTCTTGTCCTTGTGCAGCAGGTTGGTCAGTGGGCTGGTTATCCCCGCCATATTCGGGATAAACCTTCGGACGTAATTAACGAATCGAGGAAACTCTGAAGTTCCGTGACGTTCGTCGGGGACTTCCACTCCTGTATGGTCTTGATTTTCGCCGGGTCGATTTTAATGCCGTCGCGTGAAATTACGTGCCCCAAAAACTCCAACTCTTGCTTGAAAAATTCGCACTTAGAGCCCTGGTGATGAGTCGGTTCTCCTGCAGCCGCGTAAACACTGCGTCCAGGTCACTGAGGTGCTGCTCCCGTGTTTTGCTGTAGATAAGGATATCGTCAAGTAGACGATGACGCACCGGTCTAGAAGATCCCGAAACACCCTGTTCATTGTCAGCTGAAAAGTCGAGGGTGCGTTCGTGAGGCCAAAAGGCATCACCGTGAATTCGTAACTCCCGTAGCGTGTGCGAAATGCCGTCTTGTGGCAATCATCGGCGAAGACTCGGATTTGATGGTAACCGCCGCGCAAGTCGATCTTCGAGAAGTAGCGAGCGCCACGAAGTTGGTCGAGGAGGTCGTCGGTGCGTGGGATTGGATAGCGAGACTTGATGGTGACCCTGTTCAGCGCGCGATAATCAATGCACATGCGAAGTCCGCCGTCTTCTTCGGGGTGAACAGGATTGGTGCTGCGAAGGGCGAGGTGCTGGCCCGAATAAACCATTTCTCCAACAGTGCATCAATGTCAGAACATATAGCTTACTTATTTGTGTAGGCTATAGTGGGGTATCCCATAGGGGGTACAACCCAATTAGGGTTTCCTATTTGTACTCACTTCGTTCATACTCATTTTCATTCTCGTTCAATTCTTCTCATGGTATCAGAGCAGGTCCCCTCTAGGGACTGTTCCTAGGGCCCACCGAAGCGGCCCCGAGGCGCGCGTTCTTTTTTAGCGACCCTGCGTGTCGCCCCTACCGTCGCGCTCCCGCCGCTCCCTCCTCTTACGGCCGCCCGCCCTAGTGCCTGACGGCCGCCCGCCCTAGCGCCCGAGCGCCAACCGCCCTAGCGCCCTGACGGCCGCCAGCCCTAGCGCCCTGACGGCCGCCCGCCCCAGCGCCCGAGCGCCGCCCGCCCTAGCGCCCGAGCGCCGCCCGCCCTAGCGCCCGAGCGCCGCCCGCCCTAGCGCCGAGCGCCGCCCGCCCTAGAGCCCTGACGGCCGCCCGCCCTAGCGCCCGAGCGCCGCTCGCCCTAGCGCCCTGACGGCCGCCCGCCCTAGCGCCCGTGCGCCACTCGCCCTAGCGCCCTGACGCCGCCCGCCCTAGCGCCCGACCGCAGCCCGCCCTAGCGCCCTGACGGCGGCCCGCCCTAGCCCTCCGCCCGCCCTAGCGCCCTGACGGCGGCCGCCCGCCCTAGCGCCGAGCGCCGACCGCCCTTTCGCCCTTACGGCCGCCCGCCCGAACGCCTGAGCGCCGCCCGTCGTCGCCCCAACGCCCTAGCGCCCGACGCCCGCGAGCCGCCCGTCGCAGCCGCCGTGAGCTCCCTGAGCCGCCCGCGCCGCCATCCCTGAGCCGCCTGTGCAGCCGCCCGCGAGCCGCCAGCGAGCCGCCCGTCGCGACACCAGCGCCGCACGAGCCGCCCGTACAGCCGAACAGCCCGAGCCGCCCGAGCCGCCCGCGCCGCCCCAGCAACCCGAGCCGCCCGAGCCGCCCGAGCCGCCCGAGCCGCCCGAGCCGCCCGAGCCGCCCGCGCCGCCCCAGCAACCCGAGCAGCCCGAGCCGCCCGAGCCGCCCGAGCCGCCCGAGCCGCCCGAGCCGCCGCGCCGCCCCAGCAACCCGAGCCGCCCGAGCCGTGCCGCTGTTCCTGAGCTGTGTTCCTCTGCTGCTGACCTACCCGACTCTCCCAGCCCGGTGAGACTTTCAGCTGCTGCCATGGCCACCCCCACTGTTCTTACTTTTGACGCTGAGGGGAGGGCCATTGACTTTGCCGTCTGGATTGAAGACCTGCAGCTGTACTTACTGTGTGATGCGATAGATGAGGTCTCTCTTTTGACTTTGTCTCTGGCGCTGTCCCTGCCCCACCTGCTGATGCTGACTCTGCCGTTCGCTCCAAGTGGGCGACCCGCGATGCTGCTGCACGTCTTGCTGTGCGTCGCCACCTCCCTTCTTCTGAGCGTGCCCACTTTAGTCAGTGCAAGACCGCTCAGGCCTTGTACGACGCTGTAGTTGCACGCTACTCCTCCCCTCCTCCGCTACCCTTAGCCGCCTCATGCTACCGTTTCTCTTCCCTGACCTCGCTTCCTTTCCCACTGTCGCTGACCTCGTTACCCACCTCCGTGCTAGTGACACCCGCTACGCGCTGCCCTTCCTGCTGAGTTCCGCGCTGCGAACCCTCCTCCCATGTACATCACTCTCTACTTTCTCGTCACCCGTCTCCCTGAGTCCCTTCGTGTCGTTAGGGACCAGTTTCTCTCTGTCTGTCCCACACTCTCACTGTCGACCTCCTTGAGGAGTCCCTGCTAGCGGCTGAGAAGAGTATTGTCGCTGTAGGGGCCTCTCGGGGTGACCCTCGCACCCCCATCTTTGAGGGGTGTGGTCCTTCCCCCTGCTGCCCTCTGTCGCCTCTGCCGCTGCGGCCGACCTCACTGGTTTGAGTGCGGTCGGCGCGGCGTCTGCCCCCAGCGGCAGACGCCGCTCTGGCAAGGGCAAGGGGGGCAAGGGAGCGGGTGGAGCTAGAGGGAGGGTGGAGGAGGCGGTGGGGGTGGCGGGGGGAGTGGGGGTGGCGGTGGGGGTGGTGGCGGGAGTGGAGGTACTGGTGGCGGCGGTGGAGGCGGAGGTGGCGGCGGCGGTGGTAGCGGAGGAGGCGGTGGGAGCGGTGGGAGCGACGGTCCTGGTGGTGGAGGCGGGGGTCGGGGTGGCTCGTCCCAGCGGAGCAGCTCTGGGGGTGGTCAGCGCCAGCAGCAGCAGCAGCAGCAGCCGCAGCAGCAGCCACAGCAGCAGCAGCGCTCTCGCACCGTCCCCGCCCCTCAGCAGCTCCGTGAGTGGTACTTGCAGCGTCAGCGTGGTGGTGCGCTTGGTCCCTGCCCCTACGTTCTTCGCACCGGTGACCGTGCAGGGGAGAGGTGTGGAGGCGCCCACACAGCCCGCCGCTGCTTTGGCCGCCTGACCGACGCCTGGCGTCAGCAGTTTCCGGAGGCCGCTGAGATCCCCCGCTGGGAGAGCTGTCTAGGGCTGGTGTAGCTATTTATGATCTTGATTTGATGCTATTCTCGCTGCTATGTATGCTGTGACTGGTAGTGATGAGGATGACTGTTACCGGTGTTTCCCGCCCGACCCGGGCATTGGTACTGCCGCGTCAGGTACTAGTGAGGCTGCTGCTCTAGGTGCCAGTGCGTCTGTGCTCTCAGGTGCTGGTGAGTCTGCCCTCTCAGGTACTGTGTCGGCTTCGGCCTCTCACACCTTCACCCTTGACTCTGGAGCGTCTCGCTCCTTCTTTAGGGACCGCACCACTCTCACGCCGCTGAGTCGGCCGGTTGCGGTGTCCCTGGCTGATCCCTCTGGGGGGCCTGTCCTGTCTCGCTTCTCCACTGTCCTCCCGTGTCCGGCGGCCCCTCTGGACACCTGACTGGTCTCTACCTCCCCTCGTTCTCGACGAACTTGGTGAGTGGTGCTGACCTCCAGGATGCGGGTGTCCACCAGTTCACCCCTGCTCGTCAGCGGGTGACTCACTGCACGGAGGCGGATACAGGTCGCCACCTGGCTACGTTTACACGTCGGCCAGGGTCGAGCCTGTACACACTGACCACTGCTTCTCCTCCAGGTGCTGAGTCTGGTAGGGTCCCTTCGTCTGGTCAGGTGTTTGCTGCAGCGTCCAGGTCTGGTCCTGAGTCTGCCCCCTGCTCGTGTCGTCGTCTGTCTCACGAGACCCTCCTCTGGCACCACCGCCTTGGCCACCCTCTCTGCTTCGGCTCAGAGGCATGGCCTCGCGAGTCCTTGTGTCTGGTCTTCCCGGTCTCTCCCTCCCCTTCCTCCGGGCCTGGCCCTACCTGTGTCCCCTGTGTCGAGGGGCGCCAGCGTGCTGCCCCTCACTCCTCCAGTTTCCTCCGACAGAGGCCCCGTTGCAGACGCTTCACATGGACGTGTGGGGCCCAGCCCGCGTCCGTGGACAGGGTCAGGAGCGCTACTTCCTGCTGGTGGTTGACGACTATTCGCGTTACACCACAGTCTTCCCCTTGCGCAGCAAGGGTGAGGTCACTGAGGTGTTGATCGACTGGATCCGCGTAGCTCGTCTCCAGCTTCGGAGGAGCTTTGGCTCTGACTTCCCTGTTTTGCGTCTGCACTCGGACAGAGGCGGAGAGTTCTCCTCTGGCCTCCTGAGTGCCTACTGTCGTGCGCGAGGCATCCGTCAGACCTTCACGCTTCCGGACTCACCACAGCAGAATGGGATTGCTGAGCGCCGCATTGGCATGGTCATGGACGTCGCTCGTACGTCCATGATGCATGCGGCCGCTCCCCATTTTCTGTGGCCGTTTGCGGTCAGGTACGCTGCGCACCAGATCAACCTCCACCCCAGGGTCTCTCCACCGGAGACCTCCCCAGCCCTGCTGTGGACGGGGAAGGTTGGCGATGCGTCGGCGTTCCGGGTCTGGGGATCTCGGGCGTTTGTTCGCGACCTGTCTGCGGACAAGCTGTCCCCTCGTGCTTCTCCCTGCGTCTTCCTGGGGTTCCCCCCCGACGCCCCTGGGTGGCAGTTTTACCACCCCACCTCTCGACGTGTTCTGTCCTCCCAGGACGTCACGTTCGACGAGTCGGTACCCTACTACCGCCTCTTCCCCTACCGCACTCCGTCCCTCCCCCACCCCCGCTCTTCTTGGTACCAGGTCCCCCCCGGTAGTCCCCTCCCCCCTCAGGGTCTTGCCCCTTCAGGTGTGTCCCAGGTAGACGCGGTCGAGCCTGTCGAGGTCACTGGTGACTCTGGTGCTGCTGCGGGAGCTGAGCCTGGGGGTGCGGAGTCTGGGGGTGCTGAGCCTGGGGGTGCTGTGCCTGGGGGTGCTGAGCCTGGAGGTGCCGAGCCTGGGGGTGCTGTGCCTGGGGGTGCTGTGCCTGGGGGTGCTGAGCCTGAAGGTGCTGAGCCTGGGGGTGCTGTGCCTGGGGGTGCTTCGTCTCGCCGGGAGCCACTCTCCCCACAGGAGCTGCGTGAGTGGTTTGCCAGGCGCTGGTGGTTCTTCGGCTGCAGAGGGTACTGCTGCCGCGCGTCCCGCCGGTGCTCGTACTGTGGGTGCTGGAGCTGCTGGGTCTGAGAGTTCTCCTGGAGCTGGTACTGCTGAGGGTGTTGGCGCTGAGCCTGCCGTTGGCGGTCCGACTGACAGTGCTCTTGGTGCTGCTGCTGGAGGTTCTGGAGCTTCTGGTGGTGCTGCTGGAGGTGCTGCTGGAGTGGGTGCTCCTGCCGGGGCTGCTGGTGCTGTTCCTGCTGTTTCTAGCGTCGCCGCGCGGCCCCGACCGTACTTCGTTCCGCTCCTGCAGCAGGTTCTTGGTCTTACACCTCCTCCTCCTCCCTTAGAGGGTCCGCAGCCTGTCCGGTCACAGCCACAGCTACAGCCTGCCTCCCCTTTGCCTGCTCCTTCTCCCTACGCTGGTCCGACTGGAGGTCTTACTGAGCGTCGTGAGCCTGCGTCTCGTCCCGTGTCGCTTGTTCGTACTGAGCGCACTAGTGGTCGCGGGTCGCGTCAGCGTCCTCCTCCGTCCCTGGCACGCACCGGATGTCACTGCGTCCGTCCATGCTCCTCTGCGTGCCCCTTTGCCTTCTCCTCCTGCTTCCTCTCTTCCTGCTCTTGCCGACCCGGAGTCGGACTCTCTTCGTGCTGCCAGTCCTACTGTCACGCGTCTCCTTGCTACTGCTGTCACTGACCCTTCCTTCGAGTCGTCTGCTGCGTCTGCCCTTGTCACTGAGCTTGTCGACTTTGCTGCGCGCTGTCGTCTAGACTACGCTGCTCGTCTTGTCACTGAGTTTGAGTCCGCCTGTCCTCCGTCCGTCGGGGGTGAGTGTGCCTTGGCACGGACGTCCTTGAGGACAGGCAGGAGGAGTTCCAGTGTCTGGCCGCCGCTTCACCTCGTCTCGCGTCTGTACTGCTAGCCCCTGAGGGAGACCGGATGCACCAGACATCCCGACTCCGCGCTCTTACGCGGAGGCGATAAGAGGGTCCCTACTCCTCTCAGTGGCAGGCAGCTATGGATGCAGAGATGGCTTCCTGGAAGTCCACAGGCACCTACGTTGACGCTGTTCCCCCTCCTGGGGCGAACATCGTTAGTGGCATGTGGATTTTCAGGGTGAAGCGGCAGCCGGGTTCTCCGCCTGTCTTCAAGGCGCGTTACGTGGCTCGTGGCTTCAGTCAGCGGCAGGGGGTTGACTACTTTCAGACCTTCTCCCCCACCCCGAAGATGACCACTCTTCGGGTTCTGCTGCACGTTGCTGCTCACCGTGACTACGAGCTACACTCTCTCGACTTCAGCACAGCTTTCTTGCAGGGCAGCCTGCACGAGGAGATCTGGCTACGTCGCCCACCTGGCTTCACTGGGTCTTTCCCTCCTGGTACCCAGTGGAGTCTCCGGCGTCCAGTCTACGGTCTCCGCCAGGCGCCACGTGAGTGGCACGACACACAGAGGACTACGCTCGCGGCACTTGGGTTTGCTCCTTCTACTGCCGACCCGTCGCTGTTTCTGCGCACCGACACCTCTCTGCCGCCGTTCTACATCCTCGTGTACGTCGACGACTTGGTCTTTGCCACAGGACACTGCTAGACTCGCCTACGTGAAGTCCGAGCTGCAGAAGAGAACACGTGCACTGACCTGGGTGAACTGCGCAGCTACCTTGGCTTGCAGATCACCCGGGACAGAGCACGCCGCACCATTACCCTGACTCAGTCACACATGGTGCAGCAGGTCCTTCAGCGCTTCGGCTTCACGTACTCCTCGCCTCAGGCCACTCCTCTGCCTACTCGCCACTCGCTCTCAGCTCTGCTTCGGATGAGTCCGTAGAGTCGAGTGGCCCGTTTGCAGAGCTTGTTGGCTGCCTCATGTACCTGATGACCTGCACATGACCTGACCTCGCATACCCTCTTAGCATTCTCGCACGCTTTGTTGCTCCTGGAGGACACCGACCAGAGCACATGGCTGCAGCGAAGAGGGTGTTGCGCTACTTGTGCAGTACGTCGGGCATGGGGCTAGTGCTTGGAGGGCGCAGTCCAGTGGTCCTCACTGGGCACGCAGACGCTCTTGGGCTGACGACCAGGCTACGCAGCGGTCGTCACAGGGTTACACCTTCAGCCTTGGTTCCGGCTCTGTCTCGTGGCGGGCTACCCGCTCGTCTTCTGTTCTCGGCTCCAGTTGTGAGGCTGAGATCTACGCTGGGGCTATGGCTGCACAGGAGTTACGCTGGCTCACCTACCTGCTGACCGACCTTGGAGAGCAGCCTCGTTCTCCTCCAGTCCTGTACGTAGACAACAAGGCCATGCTGGCCTTGTGTCGAGAGCAGCGACTGGAGCACAGAACGAAGCACATTGCTCTCTCGCTAATTTCTTGCTCGTGAGCTACAGCAGCGGACAGTTGCGACTTGCGTACGTGGCCTCTGAGGCCAACACTGCTGATGTCTTCACCAAGGCACTTGCGCCTTGTGATCATCAGCGTTGCTGCACGCAGTTGGGTCTTGTGTCTGTCTTGCCTCACTTGCTCTCCTCTGACCTTGCTTGTACCTTCGCATATATATACCCTTGCTCTTGCTTACTTGACTCTTGTATACCTCTATATATGATCTTGCATGTGAACTGGCCTTCTGGCCTTTGAACTTGTGCTCGGAATGCGTGGTGACTTTGTGATCCACCCTGAGCTTTACTTTGCTTTGCTTGACTGGTCTTGTGACCCCTTGTTCTCCCACTTTGCCTATGGGGGTGTGTCAGAACATATAGCTTACTTATTTGTGTAGGCTATAGTGGGGTATCCCATAGGGGGTACAACCCAATTAGGGTTTCCTATTTGTACTCACTTCGTTCATACTCATTTCATTCTCGTTCAATTTTCTCAATCAATTTGTCGGCGCAGCTCCTCGAGTTCCGGCTGGGTCAACCGCCACTGTGTTCGAACGGTTGGTTGCGCTCCAGGCTCCAGCTGGATTTTGTGGTCCTCAGGTCTCTCCGGTGGCAGTACGAGAAGCAGCAGTACACCAATCAGTCAATGATGGCGTACACGATCCTACTAAGAAATATCACCCCGACTCAACAGCGGAACATAAGGACTTACGGAGGTTACGGTAACTACGCGGAGCTCACGTACAACCACCTGAAGAGCCTGTATTAAGCAACAGACAATGTAAGTCAAAGTCGGTTAATGGCGCAACTGACAACGGTTGAAATGAAACCTGGGGAAAAAGGAATGGCGTATATCAGTCGATGTCGCGAATTGCGCGGCAAGCTTCTTCGATGCGGAGGGTCAATTTCTGAAGACGCCTTCGTGAGAGTCATCATCGGCGGCCTCGATCCTCAATGGCGCGCCACAAAAGCCATCCTCCGAGCTCACGGAAGAATCTCCGAAGCAGCGCTCTGCGCCGAAATCCATGCCGAGTAGCAAGACATAGACCTGCAAGAAGAATGACACAGAAAAAAAGACGTCAGCACCAGAGTTCGCGTTCCACACCCTGCGACGCTACAACAACAACAAACAAAAATCTCACATCAACAAAAACTGCACGCCAGTACCTCGTTCTGCCACACTGCAACTTCAGGACACACGCGCACGCACTGCCCGAATCGTCAACAATCAACAACCCCACAGCGACAACCCGGCTTTCAAGCAGCCAAGGTCGACTCAACGCAGGTAAATCCTATGACTCAGATTCAAGCTTCAACGACTTCAACAGGACAACCTGCGCAAGGAGCAAGAAACATCGTCAGCTGCATGGCAAAGCTAACAGACTCCTCCATCACCGAGTCACCACCACACTACTCACCGGAAGAACAACTCGACGAAACCACACCCCGCCGCGAGTCACTTCAGCCGAAACCCGACATACGCCGCCATCGCCCAAAGCGAACCATCCGGAAGAGACACATGGTTTTTGGACAGTTGTTGCAAACAACACATGTGCTCCTCAGGACGCTTCATTAAATGAGAACACCAGCTTCAACGCGAAGTCGTCATTATAGTCGCCAACAATCAAAACCTGCGAACACGACGACAAGGCGTAGTTCAACTTCAGTCAAGGGAAACAAACGTTGTACTACACATGTCAATAGTACTAATCGCGGAGGGACTCGGCTACAACTTACTGGGCGTCAGCCAGCTGATGGCGAAGCGGATTCACCTCGAAGCAGACAGTACCACTCAAGAATTCAAGTTGTATCACGGGAGAGGAGGACTCTACATCGGCAGGGCGGTCCTCAAGAACAACGTCTTCGTTCTTGATTTCGTCCCTGACCTTGGCACAGCCGACAGCGACGCCATCGTTAACTTCACCGACTGGACACACCCTCCGGACCTTGATCCATAATTCAGTCCAGAAGGCTTCTCGTATTCACACACCATCCCTGAAGCAGAAAGAACAAGGGCGTTAGCAACAATTCAAACAACATCAGTAGCAGCAGAGACAACATCGGCAGCAGCAGAGACAACATCGACAGCACCAGAGACAACATCGGCAGCAGCAGAGACAACATCGGCAGCAGCAGAGACAACATCGGCAGTAGCAGAACCATCAACGGCAGCAGCAGGAACGTCAACACCAGTTGCTGGTCCTTCAACGACACCACTCCTCATCGACGACACACCACCAACACCAGCGCAACAACTACACCCAGCACCACGAGAAGTTCATCGCAGCGCCAACTTCACCGCCAGCTTCTACTCCAACCCCGACATGTACCGACGATCACCCGGACATCGCGCCAACGAAAGCACCTGGCACGCAAGGATGGGACACCCAAGCAACACGGTATTAAACAATACAATAAGAGCAGGAGTACTCGACAAGGACTTGCTCCTACTAACCGACGGACGAGAACTTCAACGAGCACGAGGAACGTGCTTCACCTGCCCTGAAGGCGACTTACCGCATCGACCATTCGCGCCACATCGCAATCCAAGCGCTCTCGCGTACGCACCACTCGAGAAGGTGTATAGCGACATCCTGTTCAATTGGGAACCAGGACAAGTCACATACAACTACACGATCACCTTCATCGACGCCGCCACCCGTTACGTCTGGCACCTAAACCTACCTAGCCGCGACATGGCATTCGCAGCCTTCGTTGCCTGGCTACCAGTAGCAGAGAGAGAGTCGGGCGTACAACTGAAAAGCTTCCAGTCAGACGGAGGAGGAGAATACAGTTCTCAGCGATTCAAGCAGTACCTAGCGGAAAGGGGAATCAAGCAGCTCATCTCCCTTCCCTACGCCCATCAGCAGCAAGGACTAGTAGAAAGAATGAACAGGACCTACAGAACACCATGCGCAAACTGTTACGTGGCATGCGGCTACCCAGCCACCAATGGCCTGCAGCAATGGACCACGATGTCATGCTGCACAGTTTGTTGTCGTCGTCATCGCTTCCGAACAACGCATCACCGCATCTGCTATGGACAGGGAAACAAGGCAGCACAAAAATGTTACGAGTTTTCGGATGCATGGTACACTACCGACCCCCAGCAGCACGAGCGGGCCAATTTTCTCAACGAGCACAGTGGGGACTACACCTGGGCATCGAAAAGAACTACAACGCGTGGAAAATCTTCGACGTCCACTCCAAGGAAAGAGTACCAGCACGTGACGTAATTTTCTACGAACGGCTCACGCTCCAGACGTACCTTGCCAACTTGCAAGAAGACGAAGATCCCACAGGTGGTCTTCGTGGCGACCGAGCCTTCGCCTCAGCAGTGGACGAAGCAGACTGGGACGAGCAAAATGTGGACAACGCATCAGAAGAAGCCGGACCTCTTCCGTTCTGCTCCGTCGATGTTTCATGGACGAAGACAACCCTCGCGAAAGTGCCAACGCCGAAACCTTCTACCATTTCGCCGACAACGGTTACGTAACACCTGCGACAGTCAACACCAACAAAGCAGAATGAGCAGGACCAAATTTCATACCTGATCCAGAAGCGGGAGATGAAGCAGCTTATCCCGAGGATGTAAATCTTCATAGAGTGGACTGCAGATTCTCGGGCTCGTCACCGCAGTCCACGGCTCCGTCACTCCTAAAGAGCCTGCGACGGTTCAGCAGGCTTTGGGGGGGGAACATAAAGAAAAATGGCACGAAGCCATGGACAAGGAGCTGAAGGCACTGGAGGAACGCAACACGTTGAAGGTGGTTCCCATCGGCGTGGCACGGAACAAGACAGTACTCACCGGGAAATGGGTCTTCCGTGTGAAGACAAAGGCCGATGGCACCATCGACAAATTCAAAGCACGCTGGGTCGTACGTGGCTTCGACCAAGAGCACGGACGCGACTTCACCGAAACATTCGCTCCGCTCAGCCGACACACCTCGCTACGCATCCTTCTCGCGATCGCCGACATGAAGAAGAAGAAGCTACGGCAAATCGACGTCGCTAATGCATTCCTCGACGCACCCGTCGACGCCGAGATCTTCGTTGAGCTACCACGCGGCTCCAGCACGGACTCGAAACACGTCTGTCAAGTACTCAAGTCACTCTACGGCATCAAGCAAGCTCCGCGACTATGGTAACAATACCTACACGCTCGCCTCATTCGCATCGGCTTCAAGCAATTGCCGCACGACCAGGGCATGTACCGGCTCTCAAAGGGTATTGACTACATCCTGCTAATCATCTATGTAGACGATCTACTCTACATTGCCTCAACCGAAGGCATTACAACCTGGTTCGAAGGGGAGCTACAGCAAGACCTCACACTCACGGTCTCACCTACCGTCACACAGTACCTCGGCCTCAACATCCGAGAAGAAGAAGACACTATCTACCCCAGCGCCGCGAAATACGCCGACACCATCGCCAAGCGTTTCGCACTCACACCAACTGCTATCTCCACACCGTACCGCTACACGACAGCAAGCAACAAGGAAGGCTCCGCTCTACTCAAGCCCGCCGGCATACGCGACTACCAGAGAAAGCTGGGTTGCCTTCTCTTCGCAGCTGTCACCTGCCGCCCAGATCTATCCTACTCTGCAAGCCAGCTCGCCACCTACCTCAAGAGGCATGAAGCGGAACATCTGGCGGAGCTCGACTGCGCTTTCACTACCTTGTCAGTACCCCAACGGTTGGACTAACTTACTTAAGAACGCAACGACAACGCCTAAGCTAATCGGCTACGTCGACGCAGACCAAGCGGGCGACTCCGACAACAGGCGATCACGCACCGGCTACATCTACCGCCTCGAGCCTATCGGACCTATCTCCTGGTAATCGAGCAAGTAATAACTAATTGCTCTCTCGTCAGCTGAAGCAGAATATATTGCACTCTGCTCAGCCACCAAGGAAGGACTCTATCTTCGCGAGCTACTGGAAGAAGCGAAGTTAGCCGAGTTACACAACTTCACCTTGTTCTGCAACAATCAGTCGGCAATTCGCATCGCCAACAAGAACGGCTTCGCGAACAGGATGAAACACATCGCCCTACGATATTTCTTCGTGAATGACGAGATCGAGAAGGGAAGGCTTGAGCTATCATACTGCCCCACGTCCGAGATGGCAGCTGATTACCTGACCAAGAAGCTCGGAAAGCAGAAGTTCGAAGTGCACGCCCAACATTTGCATTGTTCCCTCTAAAGTGCTTTAGGGTGTGTAGTAGTGTGTATCCTGCCATTTCTGTTCCTGTGTAACTGTAAAATGAAAGTGTTTCAGTCAACTAAGGACCTTCTGTCAGCATCTGTAAGTTTCCTAGGTAATTTCATTTTCTGCACAAACGCGTCAAAACGGATTCAGAAGATCGAGATATGCTGACATGGTCACTATTCAGCTGAGGTGTCGTCACCGCAATTTCGTGACCTGCTGTATTGCGCGTGCTGTCGCGTGGACGTGGTATGCGTTGTCATCAATTTGCTGCTTTTATTCTGATATTGTCCATCGGCCAGTGCAGATCGAACAGCTCACACAGGTAGCATGAAGACCTAAAAAAAAAACGTGAAAATAGGAAATTTTGAGCATACACGTATATTCAGCGTTTCGTGCTTATAGTTAGCAATATCAATTTCACACGCATATTTTGCTGTCACCTGACAGCCTGTTGTGGATAGGCTGCCCTTGCCCCACAGTTATGGCTATTGAGTGATTTCCTTGCCGCGCGTATCTGAACGACAGTTATACCTACCCAAATTCTGCCGACTTCCAATAGAAGAGGTCGGCTTGAGTCGAGACGACACATCCCCGCACACACACACGCTCATCAGCTCGCAGGCGGCCAGTTGGAGCCGTCAGGTCAGCCGACCGACTGTGTTGGAAACTGGTGGGCAATTGCGGTGGTTGGCGCTGCTTGGAGCCCCAAAACTGGGAGCAGGCAAGCTGCCGCACATCTAGCTGGAGCCTGCGGTTCGACTGCGACCATTAGAGCGTGGCGCGCAGCGCAGCACATCGATGTCTGCTGGCCGAACGTACTTTCTGGCGCTAAAAACTGTACTCTCTCCGAGCCTGCTAGTGGACCAAAACCGTGCCGAAGCCGTCCCATGTGTTCGTGGCTCGCACCGAGCCTTTTCGCATACAGCAGGCTGGATGCATGGCTTTGTAACCGCCGAAGCTGTGGCAAGTGTGGCGAATCAGAGGCGTGGTCCGAGCCGGAATTTTGCGGACGTGAACCTTCCTTACCATAACAGACCTTTCATTCTTGCCGAACCAGCTATGGTTTGTAACAGACCAGGCTTTCCGGAAGAGGCAACTTCACCCGTCCGATGGTGACAGGTGTACATGTCGATTTTGCGAATCGACGACATTCGGTCCCTCGATTGCCGTCGACCTTTGCCAGCTTGATGTTGCCCTCCATGCCTGGCCACATGATTGGCGCTGAACTCAAGCAGCACACGGACCCTTCCGCCGTCCCGCTTCCACCGTCCCCCTTCCGCCGTGCCTCTTCCGCCGTCCCCCAGCCCTGCACCGGCTGCCGTCGACCATAGTTGTGACATTGTCCTCGTCACTTGCCCGCGACCAACCTGCATCCTCTTGTTGTGGCTTCGGCGCGTGTTTCTACTGGGCAACTTGCCGAACCTCATCCGTCGGCACAATGAGCCTGCGCGCTCCCCCAGTTATTGTCCGCCCCGCTCTCTCTTGGTCCTTCCATCGCACCACCAGTCCAGCCCACAAGATACACGTGAGTTCCCCCCACGTCTCCCGCACCGTACCCCCACCTCTCCGGTCCCAGTCTTCCCCCATCCCACCCCTTTCCCTGCATCCGGTTCCTGCTCTTTCTCCGCCCACCAACACTAGCCTCTCTTCGCCACATCTCACTTCTCCCGTACGCCGACCCCACCTAAACCAGTCTGGCCTGCTGTTCCCTCGATCCCAATCCCAACTGCGGATTACATTGTTCCTCGGCCTTTGCTGAGTCTTCTGTCCACACATTCTCTTGGGTTCATTGTTTTCGGTGCTCCCAAAGGCTCTCATGTCTGCAGCCTTGAGTTTGTCCACCATAACTGCTACCTCCTCTCTTTCAACTGATCGCCATATTGGAAGCATGCTCGCCGCCTCGCCATCGTTCGTGCATCACCCGCTTCAGGATCGCTGGCATCAGCAGCAACATCATCAGCATCAGCAGGCTGTCTTCTCGAGCCCTCAACCCGTGTTTGAAGCGCACCTCCTCCCCGCCAGCCCCGCGCCTGGCGTCCCCGACAACAAGCTGCGCGAGCTCGCGTCCATGGCGTCTCTCGCGAACCACCCCGCGGCGCCGTCGCCGCCGCCTGCATCGCACGCTCAGTCGCCGCCCGCCGCTTTCCCCGACCCGTGGAACGCGGGCTCTGACTCTCCGTGCGCGCAGTTCGCCGCTCAGAGTCCCCCCGACGGCCCGCCTCCTCGCCTGTCCACCGGCTGCAACGAGGCTCTCCCGTCGCCGATCCCCACGCCCCCGTGCACGTGCTACTCGCGGCTGCCGGCCGGATGCGCAACGGATCCGCACGCGCCGACCGTTAAGTACATCGGCGTGCGCCTGCGCGGGCGCAACCGGTGGGTGGCGGAGATTAAGGACAACAACCACGGCGTGCGCAAGTGGCTCGGCACCTTCGCGTGCCCCGTGCAGGCCGCGCAGGCCTTCGACGCGGCGGCGCGCGCCATCCGCGGCCCAAAGACGAAGGCGAACTTCAAGCGCGGCGATGCAGAATTCGTGGAGGACGTGCCCGAGGTGCTCTCCGTGCTCGCGTACTGCGCATCGGGCAAGCCGCCACAGAGCAGCGCGGCAAACCTGGCTGGGTCGGCGGACGGGTTCGCGCGGAGAACGTCTCCGAAGCAGTCGTCTCCCGCTGGTCCTCCGGGCAGAAGGCCCGGCAGGGGCAAACCACCCTCCCCCTCCGCCGGCCCCTTGCCGCTCGCGATCGGCCCGCCGTCCATCGCCGCGCCGTCCTACGCGGCCGCGCCGTACACAGTGGACGCGACCCAAGCCGGCGCCGCGCTGCATCATGCCGCCCCTCGCCTGTCCATGCCGTCCCCGTCGTCAGCGCTGGTCGCGCCAAGCCCCCTGCAGCTCACCGGCAGTTTTAACGCCGAAGCGTCGCCGCTAACGGCCTTCCCGTCTGCGCGCGCGCCGCATGAGATCGTTGTGAAGCGCGAAGTCCTGGCGCCGTCCTCCCTGCTGCCCGTCGCGGCGTTCGCCGAGGCGCGCGCGGCGAGCGAGCACGCGGTGATTGTGCAGCCGGCGCACGCAGGCGGGCGCGCGGCGGCGGGCTGCGCGCCGCCAGCCGTAGTCGACGGCGTGACGTGGGTGGTGGCGGAGCCGGAGCTGGCGACGCCTTGGGGCGCGCGGACGGCGGAAGCCGGCAGGTTCCCGCAGCTAGTGGCGCCCGCGCCCCACGCGTCACACGCGCCGTATCACCCACCTGCCCCGCAGTGGCGCGACGCGCAGGGGGAGCAGCGCGAGGTCCGGTGCAGGAGGGGGGAGGCACAGGCGGGTGCGGGAGAGGAGGGCGGCGCTCCAGCCATCGAATGCGCCTCGCTGTGGTCGCCTTGTCGACCCGCTGATGCCAACAGGGACGAGGACGCATTCGCACACACGCCGTCCGCGCAGCCAGATGACATGGATGTCCGATCCTCTAGCCACGTCAGGCTCGGCAAGCGCAGGTCGCCCGAGCCTGCGGGAGAGCTACAGTTAAATCGTTTGGTACGGGACGCGGAGGGTAGCATGCATGGAGGCATTGGAGGAGTGCTCTCTCTGCTGTCTGTTGGAGCCCTCCAGTCGTCCAGCGAGAGGCTCGGCGGCAGGCTCGGTGGTGAGAGTTTGAAAGTGAAGGGGATGAGCCTTTCCTCGCTCTTGCCTGTTGCCGAGCCTGCGCTGACTCCCGAGGAGTTGGTGAGCTTCGGCAGAAGCTTGGGTGGAAGGTGGTTCGGATGGAGGACCTGGAGGAAATCCCAAGGGTGGCTCGGGAAGCACTGCTGAGTTTAGGCAGGACAAGGACTTCACCATGCTGTCACTGTAGTAGACACTGTAAGGGTGCATTGGCAGGTAGGTAGGCATGTCACGAATATTCTAATTATGTGTAACTTAGAGCGCATTCCTATCCTCGTATCAAGAGAACCTCATATCAAGACTGTACTTTTTGCCTGGTAAAACTAGAGAGAGGTTTTGGGTTTAGGGGAATTTCAGTGGGATGTTGATATGTGGTTCTCTTGATACGAGGATAGGAATACGGTACGCTCTTAGTAGCTGTAAAGTAGGTATCAATAACATGAATTTTCAGACCATCTGCCTGAAGGGATGTTAGGCTGCCTAACCTGAAGGTTAATAGCATAAGCTGAACGAACACCAGGAGGCCATGCATAGAAAGGAGCTTATCAATGGGAGAGGAAGGATGTAGTTTGGCATGGGCGCATACTGAAACTCATAAATTAGCTGGTGGGTGTGACACTGCAGGTGTATGTGACGGGTGGGGTGGCCCATCATGCAGGCAAGTGATTGTGCATAAAGTAGACAAGTAGACTGGATCTACAATCTACGGTAGGTTATGGCTCGGAAGGCAGCTTCCTTGTGCAGCCAGAGGTTGAGCCCGCCGTCCAGATGGAGAATGCTGCTGAACCCCGCCACATGCAGCTCATAGCACGCCTTGAGCGACCTGCCACACCGTGCAGCAGGGCCATTGATTGCAACACTGCCTCGTCAGCCTTGAAACGGCAGGTGTGCAACAACACAACAAGGTATCATAACAAGGCGAAGAAACAGTGCAGCCATAATGCTTCCCAGTATCTTTCTTCCGCCACTTCCCCCACTCCCAACCCCCAATGTTGTCCGGGTCTCTGTATTCCATCCATGCCTAACGTTCTCTCCATGCCTCAAACAACACCCGCCCCACCCCCCCTCCCCCTTCCATACCTGGATTTGAATGCCGAATCGCTTGTCCGGATCCCTGAACTCCATGCCTTTCCGCATCGACACGTTCTGCAGCGTCCCCCCCTCGCCCGCACATCACAATCACAGTGCGGCTCTTATCGCCCCCGACTGCCGCCTCCGCCTGCTTGAGCAGGTCCGGGTTCCGCTCCGTGCCCTTGAAGTCCCCCATCGCAGCGTATCCCACGCGGCGGGCCCACGCCGTGAGGTCGCTGCCTTGGATGAGGCGGAAGAGCGGCGCACTCGCTGCTCCTTGTGCATGCACCTCCTCGTAGTCCCCCGCTTCTCTCACGTCCAGCAGCACTGCCCGCCCGCTCCCACTGCCCTCCCCGGCCTCGTTGTCGCCGTAGGCCATGGCTGCTGCTTCCTCTGGTGACACGCTCTTGAGCCCCGAGCGATGTGAGCCCATTGAACACCACTGGGGAGGCGAGATGGAGGACGGGGGGGAGGGTTGGGGGAGGGAGGGGTGGAAGAGGGAATGTGTTCATGTGGAAGGAGGGGAAGGGAGAGCGAGATGTGGCAGGTGTTGGAAGAGGAGGAGTGGCTTTAAATGTGGCATGGTGATTGTGGGCGGCAGGAAGCGCAGTGGCAGCACAAAGATTCTCTCAAGCTGCAATGATGGTTGCGCTGGAAGCTTTGTAGCGTTGGCTTGCACGCAGCGACGACCACAGTGCGAGGGAATGAGCTGTGCTCAGTAAAGACGGAGCACAATAAGTGCGGAGTGCTGTGATTACTGGGAAAATGGGGACATCTGTTTAGGTTGTACCTCTTTATTGACACTATAGTAAATGTACAATGGATACAAGGCAAATCCAGAGACCTAGTGTAAGGAAAGACACTATAGTCCTATTGTTTAGATTGTACAACAGACCACATACATACTCTATCAGCAGCAGGCCACATACATACGGTACCAGCAGGCTACATACATGATCTATGAAGAAGGCAGGCCACACACATACCCTAGCAACAGCAGGCCACATGCACACCCTATCAGCAGCAGGCCACATACATACCGTACCAGGAGGTGTATTCGAAGGAGCCGTCGAAGAGGGTGTCTACTCGCCCCTTCTTCGGTGCGCTCTCCTGCGCAGGGCAAGGAATTCGTTTGCATGGCGCGAAATTCATCGAATTGCGTTTAATTATTGCATAGCGCGAAATTCATCGCATGGCGTTGGATTATTGCATGGCACGAATTTCATCGCATGGAACAGCGACTGTCGCACGGCACAGTGAATGCTTGCAGGGTAAGGAAATTAATCGCATCAGGAATTTGGCATGCAGCTACACCTACCTTATCCGACGCCTGTGCCCGCGGCCTGAACCACGAGAGCGCGTCCTCTACCATTGGTGGCAACAGCTAGTGCCACGTGGCTGCGCACACACTTTCGAGTGACGAGAGCTGACGACGACAGGGGACACGTGCTAACGCGAAGAGTGCACGCCATGGCGTCGCACTGTCGTCTGTGGCGCCGCTACTATGCGGAGCTTCTCGTGTTTTTACACGAGGCTGTAGGAATGCCGTGAAGGTGGGGCTGTGGGTGCATACGTAGAGCAGTGTGGAAGGAATGTCGTCAATGAGTTCGCTTCGTTGATGTTTCCGCTCGCCATCGCTGTCGCCTGGCTTCGCATGCCTATCAGGCAACGCCAAAACGGTGGTTGGCAAATGATGCCCCACAGCCTCCCCTAATGTCTCTTTCTGGAAACTCTGCATTTGTTTTATGAATGTTTTTGGAGTGTAGAGTTTCTGTGGAACTCGGGAAACCCAAGATGTCATTTACAAACCAGAGGGCCTGACAATTATGGCCAACGTGGCGGAATATGGGATTGTGGGATCCAGCCAGCGAATGGGTTGGGCGCAATTAGCCAGCACAGCAGCGTCTTGGAAACGGCCAGACTGGGCAAGAAAATGCCACGTGTCCTTCAACCCGCTCGGCGCAATCGAAACTGTCGCACACGGCTAAGGGGATGAGATGTATCCCATATTATCGTATCCCACCGTATTTTAATTCTTTTAAATCCGTTTCATCCCACTCGGAGCTCCTATGGATCACTACCAGTGATCACACTTGCTTACGCCGAAGGCTAACAGACGGATAGCGTTTGACATTTCTGAGATAGCATTCGAGGTTGACGGTGGAACGAAGCAAGAGCCTTCAGTGTAGCACATCCTCCATCCCACTGCTTGAGAACCGTCTGCAATGGCTGCCGTAACGTCGCTCGTCATTGAAATTGGTTCCTGTAGCATCACGGCAGAGAGGCTTGTCTCGCAAGCCCAGGCCCCAAAGCTGCTGCAGCGTCCACGATCAGCGTTCTTCGCGCAATGCCCGCCGAAAGCACTCGTTTCTTGCAAGTCCCAAACCACGAGACGCGTGCTCCCAGCCATAGCAGCATCCGACAGCAGCACCGAGACGTCGGCGGCTGCGAGCGGCGGAGCAGCGGAGTATCTGGAAGTGTTGATAGAGTCGGACGCGGGTGTGAGCTATGATCACCTTCAGGACAAGCTCGCCGCGGGGCAGTGGGAGGAGGCAGACAACGAGACTCGGCGGCTGCTGTGCGTGCTAGCCGGGGAGGCCGCTGCGAAGCGCAAGTGGGTGTACTTCACGGAGGTACAGAACATTCCCGATAAAGACCTCCTGACAATTGACCGGCTTTGGCGGGCGTACAGCAAGGATCGGTTCGGGTTCAGCGTGCAACGGAAAATGTGGCGCGCTATGAGCCGACAGTGGAAGCCGCTGTTTCTGCAGATCGGGTGGACCTACGGCCCCAACAGCACGTACAAGAAATTCCCGATGGAATTTACGTGGGAGCTGGACGCGCCCGTGGGCCACCTGCCGCTGACGAACGCCCTGCGAGGCACGCAGCTGATTGAGAAGCTGTTCACGCATCCCGCGATGTCCGCGTTCGACGCCGACGAGACGATGCCGGACCTCGACACCGTGCCCAGCGTCGTGGCCGCGGAGCCGGAGAAGGGCGCCGCCAGCCCCAGCAGCAGTGGAGCCGTGGGAGGTACGATGTTTGACGAAGGCTTCAACAGCGCCGATTACGGGTTTTGAAGGTCTAGTTTGTACGCTCGGCTTGCTGGCCTATGCGACTTCCAGTACGCCCCTGCGCACGAATCTGTATGGATTACGAATTCCACTTGTGAGCTTTTCCAAAGAGGCAATCTTATGTCAAAGACCAACACAATTCTGATTATGATTTATTCCGCTGCACATGCCAACACACAGCCTCGCACACACACTATCCCTCTCGCCCCCGGACAATCCCAAAACCGCGCAACCCCTCCCTTCCCCTCCCACTCCCCTCTCCCTTCCCTTCACCCTCTAACCACACCATTCACCTGGCATTTGCCACCCCAGTTCAGCACAATCCGCGTCTGTCCCTTTTGGCCCCAAACCTCTGATCCCTCACCGTCTCGTTTTCCCTTCAGCTGCTGTCTAGCCCTGTAACCCTGTTAGTTTCCGCCCATTTCTATCAATCCTCTTCCCCCGGTCGTAGACCTCCCACCCACACCACCACTCCCGTCATCCCTCACTCATCAGCCTATAGTCACCACGCGTTTGGCGCAGTCACCATTGGACACGTCAAATGTATTTTTACCATACAAGGGAAGTTTCACTCGTTAGTGTTCTGACTTATTCACGAGTTCCAAGACTTGGGTCCGCCAATCTACCGTATTCCGGAAACTTTACTCTAGATTTCTTAGTCTTGAAGTTTCATCTCTCTGGTTTTCCAATCGCCTCCACAAAGCAAGGCTGCATTCCTGCAACCTCTAGTGCCAGAAGTGATCAAATGAAAAAATAGCATTCAATGCATAAATTGATGTGTCATATGTTGGGAACAAATAAGTTAAGCGCCTCTGTCGTGTCAGTACTCAAGACACAAAAACGAAGCAGCTCAAGTCGAAGCAGCGCGAGTCAACCAATGAGGTTAACGTAACCGTCGGAGGTTACGGGAAAGTCAAAGGGCAGCGACCTTTGACCTGACGCAGCGCAAGGACAAACAACTGACTTGACGCAGCGCGACAGCAAGGACAAACAACTGACTCGACATTGAGCAGTTGCCCGAGTCGCACTGTATCGAACCACAACAGTAAAATTAGTTGTAATGTCTCTTCATATTCTCTGTACTCATCTATTTATATTCTTGTATCTCTTTGCTTTTATTAACTTACTTTGCCCTCACATACTAGCGCAAGGTGGTTCAAGAGCTTTATTCAACGCTTCCGTTATTACAACATCTACTCAGATTTTAACTCTACAAAGATCCTAGGGCGTTTCAGCCCTGTTGAGAATATGTTTGTATGCTTTTATTATAAGTGCACTGTTCGAAGTGTGTTTACAGGGGCTCGCCATAGCGAGGGATTTGAACCTGGTGGCGAGTCAACGGGCCGCAACCGAACACAGCAGTTGCGACCCGCGTAGCAGCTCAAGAGTCGAATCGACAGCAGGAGTCATCGTCTACAGTACGCGAAACTGACCTGCGGGGCGCGGCAGGATACCGCGCCCTTGCCGAAGCTGAAAAGTCTCGCCAGCGCGACTGTAACAAGGCAACCCAAGCGACGCAGCGCAACTGTTATACAGTTGCGCCTTGGTAACTGTTTGCCCTATGCGTTTGCTATATAACAGAATGTAATGCCTTGCTCATATTACACAATTCTCAAGCTTGTGTCCGGCCTACCCTCGGCCGCTTCTTTGGCACCACGTTGCAAGCCAGGAGAGCTACCTCTGAGTGACCAATAGCCCCGCCGTAGGGACGTCGTTAATTCATAGAGCTTCCGCTGCGCTCTAGCGACTTCTTACTTCTAACATGGTATCAGAGCAAGAGTTCCAATCCTTGGAACCTGTGATAATTTCTACAAATGGGCCCACCACCTGAATCATCACCAGGAGCATCTTCAGGAGCAGGTTCGACCTGCCACTTCCCACGGAGCATTACGTGGAGGAAATCTTCAACGCACCGTCGCATCATTTTGGGCGACTCAGCAAGACGAATTTCAAGGAGTTACAGCAAAGTCCCTGGAAAGGACTTCACAACTTCAACCCGGCAAGATTGCAGCTCTCCTCGTTTCTACACTTCTAACAGTGGAGGGGAGTGTTGAGAATATGTTTGTATGCTTTTATTATAAGTGCACTGTTCGAAGTGTGTTTACAGGGGCTCGCCATAGCGAGGGATTTGAACCTGGTGGCGAGTCAACGGGCCGCAACCGAACACAGCGGTTGCGACCCGCGTGGCAGCTCAAGAGTCGAATCGACAGCAGGAGTCATCGTCTACAGTACGCGAAACTGACCAGCGGGGCGCGGCAGGATACCGCGTGTCAGAACATTATAGCTTACTTGTTTGTGTAGGCTATAGTGGGGTATCCCATAGGGGGTACAACCCAATTAGGGTTTCCTATTTGTAGTCACCTCGTTCGTAGTCAATTCATTCACGTTTCTAATTTTCACATGGAATCAGAGCAGGTCCCATCCTAGGGACTGTTCTCTAGGGCCCACCGAAGCGCGCCCCGAGGCGCGCGTTCTTTTTTCTCGCGACCCTCCGTGTCGCCCTTCCCCTCGCGGCCCCGCCGCCTCCTCGACGCGGCCCCGCCGCCTCCTCGACGCGGCCCCGCCGCCTCCTCGACGCGGCCCCGCCGCCTCCTCGACGCGGCCCCGCCGCCTTCTCGACGCGGCCCCGCCGCCTCCTCGACGCGGCCCCGCCGCCTACTCGACACGGCCCCGCCGCTTCCCTACCTGCGGCCGTCCCGCCGCCCTGCCTGCGGCCGTCCGCCGCCCTGCCTGCGGCCGTCCCGCCGCCCTACCTGCGGCCCACTCGCCGCCCTACCTGCGGCCTACCCGCCGCCCTACCTGCGGCCGTCCCGTCGCCCTACCTGCGACCTACCCGCCGCCCTACCTGCGGCCGTCCCGCCGCCCTACCTGCGGCCGTTCCCGCCGCCCTACCTGGCCGGCCCTACCTGCGGCCTACCCGCCGCCCTACCTGCGGCCGTCCGCCGCCCTACCTGCGGCCGTCCCGCCGCCCTACCTGCGGCCCACCCGCCGCCTTACCTGCGGCCCACCCGCCGCCCTACCTGCGGCCCGGCCGCCCTACCTACGCGGCCCAGCGGCAGCCGAGCCGCCCAGCAGCAGACGAGCCGCCGAGCCGCCCAGCAGCAGCCGAGCCGCCCAGCAGCAGCCGAGCCGCCCAGCAGCAGCGGAGCCGCCCAGGAGCAGCCGAGCCGCCCAGGAGCAGCCGAGCCGCCCAGCAGCAGCCGAGCCACCCAGGAGCAGCCGCGCCGCCCAGCAGCAGCCAAGCCGCCCAGCAGCAGCCGAGCCGCCCGGGAGCCGAGCCGCCCCAGCAGCCTAGCCGCCGAGTCGCCAGGCGACCTTCCTCCCGAGCTACCCGACCTGCCCTGCCCGGTGAGCACCGCACCGTTGTCACTGCGTACCCTTCCCCTACTGCTTGCACTGCTCCACTGTCGTCGTCATGGCTACACCCAGTGTCCTCGCTTTTGACGCTGAGGGTCGAGCCATTTGACTTTGAGGTCTGGCTCGACGACCTGCAGCTGTTTTTACAGTGCGACAGGGCCGACAATCTGTCTCTCTTTGACCTCACCTCTGGCGTTGTCCCTGCCCCTGCTGCTGATGCTGACGCCACTGTTCGCTCTCAGTGGGCCACGCGCGATGCTGCTGCACGTCTTGCTGTGCGTCGCCACCTGCCTACCGCTGAGCGCGCGCACTTTAGCCAGTACAAGAGTGCTCAGACCTTGTACGACGCTGTAGTTGCGCGCTACTCCTCCCCTGCCACTGCTGCACTGAGCCGCCTCATGCTCCCCTTCCTCTTCCCTGACCTTGCCGCCTTTCCCACTGTCGCTGATCTCATCACGCACCTCCGCACTAGTGACACTCGCTACCGCGCTGCGCTTCCTGCTGACTTCTGCGCCAAGAACCCCCCCCCCATGTACATCACCCTCTACTTCCTAGTCACTCGCCTCCCTGACTCCCTTCGTGTAGTTCGGGACCACTTCCTTGCGGTCTGTCCCACCACCCTCACAGTCGACAGCCTCGAGAAGGCCCTTCTTGCAGCAGAGAAGAGCATAGTTGCTGTAGGAGCCTCTCGAGGCGACCCCCGCGCCCCTATCTTTGAGGGGTGTTCTCCTTCCCCTCTCCTGCCCTCTGTCGCCTCTGCCGCTGCGGCCGACCTCGTTGGTCTTGAGTCGGTCGGTGCGGCGTCTGCCCCTAGCGGGAGACGCCGCTCTGGCAAGAGCAAGGGGGGCAAGGGAGCGGGTGGGGCCAGTGGGGGCGGGTGGCGGTGGAGGTGGAGGCGGCGGAGGGAGTGGGGGTGGCGGTGGAGGTGGTAGTGGGGGTGGGGGTGCTAGTGGCAGCGGTGGCGGCGGGAGTGGCGGCGGCGGTGGCGGTGGTAGCGGAGGTGGCGGAGGTGGCGGCGGTGGAGGTGGAGGCGGGGGCGGTGGAGGCGGAGGCGGGGGTGGCGGAGGTGGAGGTGGTCGGAGTGGGGCTTCGCAGCGGAGCGGCACTGGTGGCGGTCAGCGCCAACAGCAGCAGCAGCAGCAACAGCAACGTTCTCGCGACGTCCCCACCCCTCAGCAGCTCCGTGAGTGGTACATGCAGCGTCAGCGCGGTGGGGGTTTTGGTCCCTGCACCAACGTTCTCCGCACTGGTGACCGCAATGGAGAGCAGTGTGGGGGTGCCCACCCCGCCCAGCGCTGCTTTGGCCGCCTGACAGACGCTTGGCGTCAGCAGTTCCCGGAGGCCGCGGAGATCCCCCGCCGGGGAGAGCTGTGTAGGGCTGGTGTAGCTATCTTTGATCTTGATTTTGATGCTATCCTTGCTGCCATGTATGCCCTGACCATTAGTGAGGAGGGTGACTGTTACCGGTGTTTCCCGCCCGACCCGGGCATTGGTACTGCTGCTCCAGGTGCCGGTGAGGCTTCTGCTCTAGGTGCCAGTGCGTCTGTACTCTGAGGTACTCGTGAGGCTGCTCCCTCAGGTACTAGTGCGTCTGCGCTCTCAGGTACTGCGTCGGCTTCGGCCTCCCACACCTTCACTCTTGACTCTGGAGCGTCTCGCTCTTTCTTTCGGGACCGCACCACACTTACGCCGCTTAGTCGGCCGGTTGCGGTTTCCCTGGCTGACCCCTCTGGGGTCCTGTCCTGGCTCGCTTCTCCACGGTCCTCCCGTGTCCGGCGGCTCCCTCTGGCACCCTGTCTGGTCTCTACCTCCCCTCGTTCTCTACGAGCTTGGTGAGTGGTGCTGACCTACAGGATGGGGGAGTTCACCAGTTCACCCCTGCTAGTCAGCGAGTGACGCACTGCACGGAGGCTAGCACGGGTCGTCACCTGGCTACGTTTACACGTCAACCAGGGTTGAGCCTGTACACACTGACCACTGCTTCTCCTCCAGATGCCGAGTCTGGTAGCGTGCCTTCGTCTGGTCAGGTGTTTGCTGCAGCGTCCAGGTCTGGCCCTGAGTCTGCCCCCTGTTCGTGTCACCGTCTGTCTCACGAGACCCTCCTCTAGCACCACCGTCTTGGCCACCCCTCTCTGCTTCGACTCAGAGGCATGGCCTCCCGTCTTCTTGTGTCTGGTCTCCCCCGGTCTCTACCTCCCCTTCCTCAGGGCCCTGGCCCTGCCTGTGTCCCCTGTGTCGAGGGGCGCCAGCGTGCTGCCCCTCACTCCTCCCAGTTTCCTCCGACAGAGGCTCCGTTGCAGACGCTTCACATGGACGTGTGGGGCCCTGCCCGCGTCCGTGGACTCGGTCACGAGCGCTACTTCCTGCTGGTGGTTGACGACTACTCGCGTTACACCACAGTCTTCCCCTTGCGCAGCAAGGGTGATGTCACTGAGGTGCTGATCGACTGGATCCGCGCAGCTCGTCTCCAGCTCAGGCAGAGCTTTGGCTCGGACTTTCCTGTGTTGCGTCTGCACTCGGACAGAGGCGGAGAGTTCTCCTCTGGCCTTCTGCGTGCCAACTGTCGTGCGCGAGGCATCCGCCAGACCTTCACGCTTCCGGACTCCCCGCAGCAGAATGGGATTGCAGAGCGCCGCATTGGCATGGTCATGGACGTCGCTCGTACGTCCATGATGCATGCGGCTGCCCCCCATTTTCTGTGGCCGTTTGCGGTCAGGTACGCGGCGCATCAGATCAACCTCCACCCCAGGGTCTCCAGGCCGGAGACCTCCCCAGCGCTGCTGTGGACGGGGAAGGTTGGCGATGCGTCGGCGTTCCGGGTCTGGGGATCTCGGGCGTTTGTCCGCGACTTGTCTGCGGACAAGCTGTCCCCTCGCGCTGCTCCCTGCGTCTTCCTGGGGTTCCCCCCCGACGCCCCCGGGTGGCAGTTCTACCACCCCTCCTCTCGACGTGTTCTGTCCTCCCAGGACGTCACGTTCGACGAGTCGGTACCCTACTACCGCCTCTTCCCCTACCGCACTCCGTCCCTCCCCCCGCCCCCGCTCTTCTTGGTACCAGGTCCCCCCCCGGTAGACCCCCTTCCCCCTCAGGGTCCTGCCCCTTCAGGTGTGTCCCAGGTAGACGCGGTCGAGCCTGTCGAGGTCACTGGTGACTCTGGTACGGTTGTGGGAGCTGAGCCTGGGGGTGCTGAGACTGGAGGTGCTACGCCTGTGGGTGCTGAGCCTGGGGGTGCGGAGTCTGGAGGTGCTGAGCTTGGGGGTGCTGTGCCTGGGGGTGCTGAGCCTGGGGGTGCTGAGCCTGGGGGTGCTGAGCCTGGGGGTGCTGTGCCTGGAGGTGCTGAGCCTGGGGGTACTGTGCGTGAGGGTGCTGAGCCTGGGGGTACTGAGCCTGGGGGTGCTGAGCCTGGGGGTGCTGAGACTGGGGGTGCTCCGCCTGGAGGTGCTTCGGCTCGCCGAGAGCCACTCTCCCCTCAGGAGCTCCGTGAGTGGTTTGCCAGACGCTGGAGGCGTGCTGCTGGTGCTGGAGGTTCTTCGGCTGCAGAGGGTACTGCTGCCGAGCGTCCCGGCGGTGCTCGTACTGAGGGTGCTGGAGCTGCTGGGTCTGAGGGTTCTCCTGGAGCTGGTGCTGCTGAGGGTGTTGACGCTGAGACTGCCGCTGGAGGTCCGACTGGCGGTGCTCCTGCTGGTGCTGCTGGAGGTTCGGGAGCTACTGGAGGTGCTGCTGGAGCGGGTACTCCTGCTGGGGGTACTGGTGCTGTCCCTGCTGTTTCTGGCGTCGCCGCGCGGCCCCGGCCGTACTTCGTTCCGCTCCTGCAGCAGGTTCTTGGTCTTACACCTTCTCCTGGTCCTCCTCCTCCTCCCTTTGAGGGTCCACAGCCTGTCTCGTCACAGTCACAGCTACAGCCTGCCTCCCCTTTGCCTGCTCCTTCTCCCTACGGTGGTCCGACAGGAGGTCTTACTGAGCGTCGTGAGCCTGCGTCTCGTCCTGCGTCGCCTGTTCGTACTGCGCGCGCTAGTGGTCGCGGTTCGCGTCAGCGTCCTCCTCCTGTCCCTGGCACGCACCGGATGTCTCTGCGCCCATCCACTGCTCCTCTGCGTGCCCCTTTGCCTTCTCCTCCTGCTTCCTCTCTTCCTGCTCTTGCCAACCCGAAGTCAGACTCTCTTCGTGCTGCCAGTCCTACTGTCACGCGTCTCCTTGCTACTGCTGTCACTGACCCTTCTTTCGAGTCTTCTGCTGCGTCTGCCCTTGTCACTGAGCTCGTCGACTTTGCTGCGCGCTGTCGCCTAGACTACGCTGCTAGTCTTGTTGCTGAGTCTGAGTCTGCCTGTCCTCCGTCCGTCGGGGGTGAGTGTGCCCTTGGCACGGACGTCCTTGAGGACAGGCAGGAGGAGTTCCAGTGTCTGGCCGCCGCTTCACCTCATCTCGCGTCTGTACTGCTAGCCCCTGAGGGAGACCCGGATGCACTAGACATCCTGACTCCGCGCTCTTACGCGGAGGCGATAGAGGGTCCCTACTCCTCTCAGTGGCAGGCAGCTATGGATGCAGAGATGGCTTCCTGGAAGTCCACAGGCACCTACGTCGACGCTGTTCCCCCTCCTGGGGCGAACATCGTCAGTGGCATGTGGATTTTCAGGGTGAAGCGGCCGCCGGGTTCTCCGCCTGTCTTCAAGGCGCGTTACGTGGCTCGTGGCTTCAGTCAGCGGCAGGGGGTTGACTACTTTCAGACCTTCTCCCCCACCCCGAAGATGACCACTCTTCGGGTACTGCTGCACGTTGCAACAAGGGCCTAGCGTTCGCGAAATAGCAAGAACAAGGGCCTAGCGTGTGCAAAATAAAAAGAACAAGGGTCTATCATGTGCAAAATTGCAAGAACAAGGGCCTAGCGTGTGCAAAATAAAAAGAACAAGGGCATAGCGTGTGCAAAATAGCAAGAACAAGGGCCTAGCGTGTGCAAAATAAAAAGAACAAGGGCCTAGGGTGTGCAAAATAAAAAGAACAAGGGCCTAGCAAGTGCAAAATAGCAAGAGCAAGGGCCTAGCGTGTGCAAAAAATCAAGAACAAGGGCCTAGCGTTCGCGAAATAGCAAGTACAAGGGCCTAGCGTGTGCAAAATAAAAAGAACAAGGGTCTAGCATGTGCAAAATTGCAAGAACAAGGGCCTAGCGTGTGCAAAAAAAAAAGAACAAGGGCATAGCGTGTGCAAAATAGCAAGAACAAGGGCCTAGCGTGTGCAAAATAAAAAGAACAAGGGCCTAGCGTGTGCAAAATTGCAAGAACAAGGGCCTAGCGTGTGCAAAATAAAAAGAACAAGGGCCTAGCGTGTGCAAAATTGCAAGAATAAGGGCCTAGAGTGTGCAAAATTGCAAGAACAATGGCCTAGCGTGTGCAAAAAAAAAAGAACAAGGGCCTAGCGTGTGCAAAATAAAAAGAACAAGGGCGTAGCGTGTGCAAAATTGCAAGAACAAAGGCCTAGCGTGCGCAAAATTGCAAGAACAAGGGCCTAGCGAGTGCACAATAGCAAGAGCAAGGGCCTAGCGTGTGCAAAAAATCAAGAACAAGGGCCTAGCGTTCGTGAAATAGCAAGAGCAAGGGCCTAGTGTGTGCAAAATAAAAAGAACAAGGGTCTAGCATGTGCAAAATTGCAAGAACAAGGGCCTAGCGTGTGCAAAATAAAAAAAACTAGGGCATAGCGTGTGCAAAATAGCAAGAACAAGGGCCTAGCGTGTGCAAAATAAAAAGAACAAGGGCCTAGCGTGTGCAAAGTAAAAAGAACAAGGGCCTAGCGTGTGCAAAATAAAAAGAACAGGGGCCTAGCGTGTGCAAAATAAAAAGAACAAGGGCATAGCGTGTGCAAAATAGCAAGAACAAGGGCCTAGCGTGTGCAAAATAAAAAGAACAAGGGCCTAGCGTGTGCAAAAAAAATAGAACAAGGGCCTATCGTGTGCAAAATAAAAAGAACAAGGGCCTAGCGCGTGCAAAATAAAAAGAACAAGGGCCTAGCGTGTGCAAAATTGCAAGAACAAGGGCCTAGCGAGTGCAAAATAGCAAGAGCAAGGGCCTAGCGTGTGCAAAAAATCAAGAATAAGGGCCTAGCGTTCGCAAAATAGCAAGAGCAAGGGCCTAGCGCGTGCAAAAAATCAAGAACAAGGGCCTAGCGTTCGCGAAATAGCAAAAGCAAGGGCCTAGCGTGTGCAAAATAAAAAGAAGAAGGGTCTAGCATGTGCAAAATTGCAAGAACAAGGGCCTAGGTTGTGCAAAATAAAAAGAACAAGGGCATAGCGTGTGCAAAATAGCAAGAACAAGGGCCTAGCGTGTACAAAATAAAAAGAACAAGGGCCTAGTGTGTGCAAAATATAAAGAACAAGGGCCTAGCGTGTGCAAAATTGCAAGAACAAGGGCCTAGCGTGTGCAAAATAAATAGAACAAGGGCCTAGCGAGTGCAAAATAGCAAGAGCAAGGGCCTAGCGTGTGCAAAAAATCAAGAACAAGGGCCTAGCATTCGCGAAATAGCAAAAGCAAGGGCCTAGCGTGTGCAAAATAAAAAGAACAAGGGACTAGCATGTGCAAAATTGCAAGAACAAAGGGCCTAGCGTGTGCAAAATAAACAGAACAAGGGCATAGCGTGTGCAAAATAGCAAGAACAAGGGCCTAGCATGTGCAAAATAAAAAGAACAAGGTCCTAGCGTGTGCAAAATAAAAAGAACAAGGGCCTAGCGTGTGCAAAATTGCAAGAACAAGGGCCTAGTGTGTGCAAAATTGCAAGAACAAGGGCCTAGCGAGTGAAAAATAGCAAGAGCAAGGGCCTAGCGTATGCAAAAAATCAAGAACAAGGGCCTAGCGTTCGCGAAATAGCAAGAACAAGGGCCTAGCGTGTGCAAAATAAAAAGAACAAGGGTCTAGCATGTGCAAAATTGCAAGAACAAGGGCCTAGCGTGTGCAAAATAAAAAGAACAAGGGCATAACGTGTGCAAAATAAAAAGAACAAGGGCATAGCGTGTGCAAAAAAAAAAAGAACAAGGTCCTAGTGTATGCAAAATAAAAAGAACAAGGGCCTAGCGTGTGCAAAATTGCAAGAACAAGGGCCTAGCGTGTGCAAAATTGCAAGAACAAGGGCCTAGCGAGTGCAAAATAGCAAGAGCAAGGGCCTAGCGTGTGCAAAAAATCAAGAACAAGGGCCTAGCGTTCGCGAAATAGCAAGAACAAGGGCCTAGTGTGTGCAAAATAAAAAGAACAAGGGTCTAGCATGTGCAAAATTGCAAGAACAAGGGCCTAGCGTGTGCAAAATAAAAGAACTAGGGCATAGCGTGTGCAAAATAGCAAGAACAAGGGCATAGCTTGTGCAAAATAAAAAGAACAAGGGCCTAGCGTGTGCAAAATAAAAAGAACAAGGGCCTAGCGTGTGCAAAATTGCAAGAACAAGGGCCTAGCGTGTGCAAAATAAAAAGAACAAGGGCGTAGCATGTGCAAAATAAAAAGAATAAGGGCCTAGCGTGTGCAAAATTGCAAGAACAAGGGCCTAGCGTGTGCAAAATTGCAAGAACCAAGGCCTAGCGTGTGCAAAATAAAAAGAACAAGGGCCTAGCGTGTGCAAAATTGCAAGAACAAGGGCCTAGCGTGTGCAAAATTGCAAGAACAAGGGCCTTGCGAGTGCAAAATAGCAAGAGTAAGGGCCTAGCGTGTGCAAAAAATCAAGAACAAGGGCCTAGCGTTCGCGAAAGGGCAAGAACAAGGGCCTAGCGTGTGCAAAATAAAAAGAACAAAGGTCTAGCATGTGCAAAATTGCAAGAACAAGGGCCTAGCGTGTGCAAAATAAAAAGAACAAGGGCATAGCGTGTGCAAAATAGCAAGAACAAGGGCGTAGCGGGTGCAAAATAAAAAGAACAAGGGCCTAGCGTGTGCAAAATAAAGAGAACAAGGGCCTAGCGTGTGTAAGATTGCAAGAACAAGGGCCCTAGCGTGTGCAAAATTGCAAGAACAAGGGCCTAGCGAGTGCACAATAACAAGAGCAAGGGCCTAGCGTGTGCAAAAAATCAAGAACAAGGGCCTAGCGCTCGCGAAATAGCAAGAGCAAGGGCCTAGTGTGTGCAAAATAAAAAGAACAAGGGTCTAGCATCTGCAAAATTGCAAGAACAAGGGCCTAGCGTGTGCAAAATAAAAAGAACTAGGGCATAGCGTGTGCAAAATAGCAAGAACAAGGGCCTAGCGTGTGCAAAATAAAAAGAACAAGGGCCTAGCGTGTGCAAATTAAAAAGAACAAGGGCCTAGCGTGTGCAAAATTGCAAGAACAAGGGCCTAGCGTGTGCAAAATAAAAAGAACAAGGGCCTAGCGTGTGCAAAATAAAAAGAACAAGGGCTTCGCGTGTGCAAAATAAAAAGAACAAGGGCATAGCGTGTGCAAAATAAAAAGAACAAGGGCCTAGCGTGTGCAAAATAAAAAGAACAAGGGCCTAGCGTGTGCAAAATATAAAGAACAAGGGCCTAGCGTGTGCAAAATTGCAAGAACAAGGGCCTAGCGAATGCAAAATAGCAAGAGCAAGGGCCTAGCGTGTGCAAAAAATCAAGAACAAGGGCCTAGCGTTCGCGAAATAGCAAGAGCAAGGGCCTAGCGTGTGCAAAATAAAAAGAACAAGGGTCTAGCATGTGCAAAATTGCAAGAACAAGGGCCTAGCGTGTGCAAAATAAACAGAACAAGGGCGTAGCCTGTGCAAAATAGCAAGAACAAGGGCCTAGCGTGTGCAAAATAAAAAGAACAAGGTCCTAGCATGTGCAAAATAAAAAGAACAAGGGCCTAGCGTGTGCAAAATTGCAAGAACAAGGGCCTAGTGTGTGCAAAATTGCAAGAACAAGGGCCTAGCGAGTGCAAAATAGCAAGAGCAAGGGCCTAGCGTGTGCAAAAAATCAAGAACAAGGGCCTAGCGTTCGCGAAATAGCAAGAACAAGGGCCTAGCGTGTGCAAAATAAAAAGAACAAGGGTCTAGCATGTGCAAAATTGCAAGAACAAGGGCCTAGCGTGTGCAAAATAAAAAGAACAAGGGCATATCGTGTGCAAAATAAAAAGAACAAGGGCATAGCGTGTGCAAAATAAAAAGAACAAGGTCCTAGTGTATGCAAAATAAAAAGAACAAGGTCCTAGTGTATGCAAAAAAAAAAGAACAAGGGCATAGCATGTGCAAAATAGCAAGAACAAGGGCCTAGCGTGTGCAAAATAAAAAGAACAAGGGCCTAGCGTGTGCAAAATATAAAGAACAAGGGCCTAGCGTGTGCAAAATTGCAAGAACAAGGGCCTAGCATGTGCAAAATTGCAAGAACAAGGGCCTAGCGAGTGCAAAATAGCAAGAGCAAGGGCCTAGCGTGTGCAAAAAATCAAGAAAAAGGGCCTAGCGTTCGCGAAATAGCAAGAGCAAGGGCCTAGCGTGTGCAAAATAAAAAGAACAAGGGTCTAGCATGTGCAAAATTGCAAGAACAAGGGCCTAGCGTGTGCAAAAAAAAACGAACAAGGGAATAGTGTGTGCAAAATAGCAAGAATAAGGGCCTAGCGTGTGCAAAATAAAAAGAACAAGGGCCTAGCGTATGCAAAATAAAAAGAACAACCTAGCGTGTGCAAAATTGCAAGAACAAGGGCCTAGCGTGTGCAAAATTGCAAGACCAAGGGCCTAGCGTGTGCAAAATAAAAAGAACAAGGGCCTAGCGTGTGCAAAATTGCAAGAACAAGGGCCTAGCGTGTACAAAATAAAAATAACAATGGCCTAGCGTGTGCAAAATAAAAAGAACAAGGGCGTAGCGTCTGCAAA